GGAGGAAGAGGAGAGTAGAGAGAGTTAGGAGGAAGAGGAGAGTAACAACAAGCGTGAGGACATGTTAAACTGATCCTGTTTGCTGTCTGTACCACACACCGTTTTGTTAAATTCTGTCGAGATGGTTCAGACTCATAGCAACCCTGTTACAGGGTTTCTGAGGAGCAGCTGGTGGATTTGAACTGCTGACCTTGTGGTTCACAGTCCAGTGATGATCATATAGTACCCCACCGGGAGTCCTCTGTACCACATATTAGTTAGTGACTCATTGCCTGGTGATACTATTTTATCACTCCATCTTTATGAGATTGGGACCTGTGTCTTCTCTTTCTCTCATAATACCTATTTTGTGCTGTGGTAAGCACTTGATACATGTTTATTCGTGGAGATCCAGGTGACTGTACCTTTTGAATAATAAGGGATAGACTGTCCAGCTGATGGATGATGAGACTAAGCAGGACCTTGAAAGCTTGTCAGAAGAATGTAGTTAGCACTTGTTGGAAAGTGTTGTCGAGTCAGTTCCAACTCATAGCCACTCTGTGTAGGGTTTCTGAGGAGCGACTTGTGGGTTTGAACCACCAACTTTATGGTTAGCAATCCAGTGCTTATCGTACAGAGAGCTTTTATCCTTTGGTGGGAATGTTAATGAGCTCCACTACTAGCTGAGAAGTGAGCAGTTTGAGTCCACCTTGAGGTTCTTGAGAGAAAGATCGGGCAGTCTATTTCTGAAAAATCAGCTATTGAAAACACATGGAATCTCCATGAGTCCACACTGACTTAACAACAGCTGGTCTTGTCTGAGACCCTTATGAGTCAGAAAACGATGTGATCAGAGTGATCATTTCTGGTGCCGTACATAAGAAGCCCTGGAGACAGGAAGGCCTGCTAGTTAGCTGTTGCGGTAATTCAGGTATGAGGGAACTGTTGATTACAAAGGTAGTAGAAAGAGCAGATTCAAAGGGCCATTTGAAAGAGAGATGCAGTAGAACTTGTTGATACTAGATGTAGCAAATGAAAACATGGGGAGTGAAGCCAAACTTCTAAGGCTTGCTTAAGATTTGGAGATGAAGTATACAAATTTGGTATTTAATCTTAAAATTTATAGATAAAAACTTGAATGTTTGCGATTGATGTTTGGCTTCAAATGTCTCTATTGTGTTTTGTTTTTCCATTAAACATTTTAGATGATGGCCATCCAGTAGAACTTTCTGTGGTAATGGAAATGTTCCACTGTGCTGTCCACTATAGTAGCCACTGAATACTTAAAATATGGATAGTTTACCGGGAGAAATGACATAAATTGTATTGACTTAATCAATTTAGATTTTAACCCTGTGGCTGGTGTTTACTGTATGGACAACACCTCTGGATAAACTCAGCATCTTTTATCCATTTCTTCAACTTGATGCTTTTCAAGGTTCTGGCCTGGCTGTCTCAATCTCTGTTTGGAGCTGGAGAGAAGAAGAGAGGCTTTCACCATCCTTGTGCATCTGAATGACTTGAGTCTGATGGAGAGGGACAATGGTACGTAAATCCCAGTTGGTTATTCTTGTCTATAGTATTGGAAACCATTTCAGATTTTTCAGTAAAGAAACATGGTGAGCATTTCATTGATCATGGATATAATTCTAGCTAGCTGTCAATTTGTATTTTTGTTGTTAATGTTGTTAGTGGCTATTGAGTTGATTTTGACTCATGAAGATTCTGTGTGTGCTAAGTAGATTTATTATGAAATCATTCTTAGGAATAAAACTACAGGCAACTTGACTACTTCATGAGTAACTGTGTGTAAGGCATCATACCAGGTACTTTCCATATGTTGTTTTCAAGTGACATGAGAAATCCTTGGGATAATAACCATCATTGCCATTTTGTAGAATTTTATCATTAAGGCCTAGAAAAGACACTTAGCCCCACGTTACACAGTGACCTGTTGAGTGATGGAGCTGGTGTTCAGACCCAGGTCTGAACATCTCTAAAACCTGTGCTCAGGTTCTTTCCCCTACATCATGGTGTCTTCTCAGAGAATCGAGTGTTAGAAATAATTATTATGAACTTAAATGGAGTTTAAGATGAAACTCCCCACCCTTCATAGGTTTCTAAATACTGTTTTTGTAAATCAGTCCATCACAGGTAAAATAGCAGTCAGCACATCTTACTGACACTCAGACAACAGAAGTCTGAGAATCTGCCCTGCATTCCAATAGGCCGTCTCAGTACGTTTTGTATGCTGCTTTCTTCATCTCAGTACAGAGGTGCCCACAGCTTGATTCCAAGGTCCTTCACTCAGCCTTCTCCAGCCCTGTTGGCCTGGGAGAGGGAAAGGCAAAGTCAGAACAAAGAAGCCAAGTGACCGGCCAGGATTACTTTCATATGTTATTGCTGAGTTCAGCTTTGTTTCCAAATTGAAACGAGAAGGCCAGACGGTTTTATAGGACTAGAATTATAGAAATGCATCCATTTTTTAAAAAATAACCAGAATAGTTCATATAAAAAAACAAATTTTTTTTAATGTTTTATTGTGAATTATATGATCGTTTACATGAGAGAACATTAGCTTTACATTCATCCTATTATATATTGTTTCATTGCCATGGTTACAGTCCTCTTATGCATCATCAACCAACCAAAGCCTGCCCCACCCCACCACCACCCCATCCCCCCCACCCCACCCCAGGTCATTAGCACACACAGCTCCTCCCTCTCTGGGTCTAGAGTCCCCAGCCACTCCATCTCTCCACGTCATCGTCTTTGCCTCCATCTCTGGCATCACTGCTTCTCTGGGTAGGGTCTCGAACTCAGCTCTCTTCTCCCTTGATGGTCCCAGGGACCTCCACTCCTAGACTTCAAAGTCAACTACTTCCCTCCTTTTGTTACAGAACGTCTACCTTTACATTTCCAGTCCTCACAGTCAGTCCTGATAACAATTATTCACCATTGTACCACATTGTACCATCTCCTTTTATTAACCCCGCCCATACAGATTAGATACTATCAGTAGAGATTCTAAGTTTACACTTTTAAAGTTACAGTGTAATGTGTTTGCCATAGGAAAATCTGAAAATTCAGGCAAGAATAAAGACAATATAACCTAGAGTCTCTCTTCTCAGTTAAAAGTACTCTTAGTATTTTATTAATGTTAGAATACTATTACTAATAACAAGAATTGTTTTACCCTTCTTGTTATAAATAAAGATGTTTTCTTGACACTCTTCTCAAAACACGTCAGCTGCTCTTAAGACTTGATGATTCATTTTTTAGTATATCCTGTTTATTGTTTATGCTTTACATGGGAAATGATGGGCTGGAATTGTAGACAATAAACCAACCGTTGCATTTAGACGTGGACTTTTGAAAACAACAACAACAACAACTTACATTCCATTTAACAGTTCATATATATTTAACAGCTTATATGTAAATCCAGATCAAAAATAGCCATGATGAGTTAGTTAGCTTAACTATAATTAAGAAACAGTAACAAAAAGTTCACATGAATCTACCTTTAAATATCAGCATCCTATTATAAGAAATAAGAACATGTTTTTAAATAAAGAAAATTATTAGACTAAGGACTTGCTGATTTTGCTTCCAAATACGTTGTTGTTGTTGTTGTTAGGTGCCATCGAGTTGGTACCGGCTAAATGACCCTATGCACAACAGAACGGAATGCTTTCTGGTCCTGCACCAGCCTCATAGTCATTGCTACGCCCAAGCCCATTGCTGTTGCCATTGTGCAAGTCCACTTCATTGAGGGTCTCCCTCATTTTCGCTGACCCTTTACTTTACTAAGCATGATGTCCTTCTCCAGAGACTGGTCCATCCTGATAATATATCTGAAGTATGAGAGATGATGTCTGACCACCGTGGCTTCCAAGGAGCACTCTGGCTGTACATCTTCCAACACAGATTTGTTTGTTCTTTTGGCGGTCCATGGTACTTTCAGTATTTTCCTCCAACACTATAACTCAAGTGCATCCGTTTTTCTGTGGTCTTCCTTATGCACTGTCCAACTTTCACATGCATAGGAGGTTATTTAAAATTCCATGGCTTGGGTCAGGTTCACCTTAGTCCTCAAACTGACATCTTTGCTCTTCAACACTAATTAGGTCTTGTGCAACAGATTTGCCTAATGTAATATATTGTTTGATTTCTTGGCTGCTGATAGTTGATAGTTGATCTGAGTAAAATGAAGTCTTTGACAACTTCAATCTTTTCTCCACTATATGGGTGTTTATTGTTGTCATAGTGATGATTTTCATTTTCTTTACATTGAGGTACAACCCATACCTAAGTCTGTGTGTGGTCTTTGGTCTTCTTCAGTAAGTATTTTAAGTTCTCTTTGCTGTCAGCAAGCCAGGTTGTATCGTCTGCATATGGCAGGTTGTTAATGAGAATTCCTCCAATCCTGATGGCCATGTTCTTCTTCATATAATCCAGCTTCTCGGATTATTTGTTTCGTATACAGATTGATTAAGTGTGGTGAACCCTGGCACACACCTTTCCTAATTTTAAACCATTCAGTGCTCCCTTATTCTGATTAAACAACTGCCTCTCGGTCCAGGTCCAGGTTCCTCATGAGCACAATTAAGTGCTCCAGAATAGTCATTCTCCGCAATGTCCGTAGCTTGTCAAGACCCACACAATGGAAGCCCTTTGCGTAGTTAATAAAGCACAGGTAAACATCTTTCTGATATTCTCTGCTTTCAGCCAAGATTCATCTAACGTCAGCAATGATATCCCTCGTTCCACATCCGTGTCTGAATCCGGCTTGAACCTCTGACAGTTCCCTATCATTGTACTGTTGCAACTGCTTTTGAATTATCTTTAGCAAAATTTTACTTGCGTGTGATATTAATGATATTTGTCCAGTGATTTCTGCATTCTATTGGGTCACCTCTCTTTGTAATAGGCACAAATATGGATCTCTTCCAATTATATATCTGACATTTGTTTGCTTTCTTCTGCTCCACCACTACTGCTGGTCCTAGCCTCTTGATTGCTGCAGTAACTTCCTAACTGGTCATCTGGCTTCCATTATTGTCCATCTTCAGTCTGTTTCCCATACAGCACCCAAAATGATTCTTTTAAAATAAAAATTGGATTTTTAAATTAAAAATTAGATTATGTGACTCCCATTCTTGAAACCGTTTGTATTGTACACAGAATAAAGTCCATATTCTAAAACTGGACCCAAAGCCTGGTCCTGTCATCTCTTTCTCGGTACTCTGTACTCACTGCTCCTCCTGCACACGCTGAGCCTCTGTTAGATGGCATGAACTCACCAAGTTCTTTTCTGACTCAAGTCACCTTCCATGTTTCCTTTCTCAGAAATGTGTACCCCTCACCTTCCATTCCCGTAAATGGGCACTTCCCGAGTGATTAAATGAAAGACTAAGGAGCCCCGCTGACACAGTGGTTAAGCGCTTGGCTGCTAACTGAAAGGCTGTCAGTACAAATGCACCAGTTCTTTGTGGGAGAAAGATGTAACAGTCGGCTTTAATAAAGATTACAGTTTTGGAATCCCTGAGAGGCAGCTCTGCTCTGTCCTTTAGGATTCCTTGAAGTCAGAATCAACTTGATGGCACAGAATAACAGCAAAGAATATTGAAGCTAATTTTGTGGTTTCTCTGTATCCTGACTATTTATTGAATGTGTTCAGAAAACAACTTTGTTTTAATATGTATTGAATATATATTGTATTAAACATGTTCACAAACAGCTCTGATCGTCTTCTGATATTCAGACAGTACTAACAGCAGTCAGAGCCAACATTGTGCTTGTTTGTATGTGTAGGTTGGATCCCGGAGACTTTGGAGGAATGGAAACTTCTCTTAAATCTCGTACAGAACAAGAGCACCAGGCCAGCTCCCCAGAAGTCACCAAATGGGGACCTCAGTGATGGACCTTCTCCTGTCAACATAGAGAATGTGGCTCTCCTGTTAGCTAAGGCTGTTGGCCCAGATCGGGCCTGGTCTCTGCTACAAGAATGTGGTTTGGCCCTTGAGTTGTCAGAGAGGTTTACCAGAACCTGTGATATCCTGAGGATTGCCGAGAAAAGGCAGAGGTAATGCCTGCCAGTCATGCCTTCTCCGTCCTTGATGGGACTGTAGAGAGCATCCATTTCCAATCCCTCACTGACAAATGAGGAGCCGAGACCTGTCTGTTAAGGGTCTTAGTATTCACAACCATGACCAGAACACTTTGGATTAACATGAATCTGATGTGTTTGTTCTTTATTCATCATTATTGGTGCCAAATACCTGATTGCCTCAGTTAGCTTGTTAATCCTGTAATTTTCTGAGTTTTTAAAGTTTTCTATGTAGAATGAACAATGACAACTAATTTGCTTGTCTCTTTCTTTGGAATTTCAGAGCCTTGATACAAAGCATGCTTGAAAAATGTGATCGGTTTCTCTGGTCCCAGCAGGCCTAGTGGAAGACTCAGTACAACGCCACAACATTTTGAGAAGTTGGAATGAACTATCTGAATGTATTCATTATCAAAGGAGAAGTGCCCCCTGAAAGTTCTATCACCTTGTTTGGGGTACTTTTTTTCAGTGTCTGCAGTCTCACTCAGCATTTTGGACTCTATCTGTGACCCATTTTCACAACCATCACAAACATTTCTCAACCAAAGTTGGATTTTGAACTAAGTCAGTCCTGGTTTGCTGGAATGAGTGCTCTGTGATCATCAGAATGTGAACTTTCCCAACTGTGGACTCCTTATTTCGGAAGACAGTGTTATTTGTTCCTCACCACTGGACTGAGGAATTATTTTCCTTCTCTGGCTACTGTGTAGGGAGAAGAAGTTTCTAGTCCTGGTCATGTGAAAACAGGTTATGTTATTAACCAGAATTGAATTCTTTTTATGTTTTGTCTGGGACAGTCTAGGAATAAGATCTGTTTTAATGGACTTAATACATAAATGCTGAAGATTTGAATTAGAAGTTCAAATAATACAAGGGGGCTTCCAGAAATTCATGGAAAAATGGAATTAAAAGATAATGGAATTTTTCCATGAACTTTTAAACGCCCCGTTGTATAGCTTCATACTAAATTGACCTCGTTTAAAAATGTGTTTCTCCCAGTACTTATTTGACTTTTTCTAGCCTGATCCCATATACAACTGACTAATTTATTACTGGAAACGTACCGGGACTGTTTTATCTCTAATTTTCCCTCAACTTATCATGCACTTTTAAGAATTATTTTTTTAAAGCCATAATAAAAGCAAAGTATTAATAAAGAAGTCAGCAAGTGCTTATATTATTTAAACTCTGTGACTAGATAAACGTGTAAGTGTAAAATCTGATTAAAGTTTTTATTTGAACAGAATTTAGACTTGGGGAGGCTTATTCACACCAAGGCCTGGGGTAAAACCAGTGAGGAGTAAACAGTGTCGGCTATACTGAACGATACAGAGAGCTACAGACCAAAATGCTCGCGTAGCTACACATAGCACCTGAGTTTAACTGGATGTACTAAAGAGATTATCAGGGAAAAGGTACTTTATATATAAAACTTACAATTTTTGACAGTGTGGGAAACTTTTCTACTAAGATCAGCTGGATTTGAGTTGAAAAGGAGCCCTGGTGGTGCAGTGGGTTAGGTGTTGGACTGTTAACAGTACTGTCAGTGGTTCAAATACACCAGCCACCTCATGGGAGAAAGATGAGGCCGATTGCTCCAGTAAAGGTTTACAGTCTCAGAACCCCTAAGAAGCAGTTCTACTCTGTACTATTGGGTCACTATGAGTTGGAATTGACTCGATGGCAGTGGGCTTTAGCTTTGGTTTGTGTTGAATGTGAGTCTGTACTAAGGAAAAGGGCAGAGCCCTCCCTTCCCTGTCTCTCAGCTTTAGTTATTCCACAGTGACTGTCCAATAGAGTGCCCTCAGAGACGCTCGTGACAAGAAGAACATGAACTGGCATGATTGTGCAATCATTTGCTAACAGACCTGCCCAGAACAAAGGCTACAGAGACATTTCCAGCATTCAAGAAATGTTTTTAATTACAACATCTAGACTGATTTTCCAAGGAAAACAAATAAAAAGCTCCTTCGGTTAAACATTTAACTTTGATCTCTGATATGAGGCAGTATTTTCAGAAACAATTTGTATTTCGCACTTGACTAAAAATTCTAGAAATAAATTCATGGTTGCCCCACTTTCTTTTTACTTAAAAAGAAAACTGATGAGTACATAGGTGACAGAACAATTGCCATATGTAGTCTTCACTCGTCACATACTCAGTCACATTGATTATATGCGTTAAGTTGTGCAGCCGTCACCATTAATCCTTCCGGAATTTTTCCATTGCCTTGAACAGAACATCAGTTTCCCTGAGCATTGCTTCTTCCTTTCCCCTCCCTTCTACCCACTCCTGGTTACCACTAGTAAACTTTGATCTCTATGCAATTGCCTATTCTTGATGCTTTCAATAATAGGGATCATGTAATATGTGTCCTTTTGTGACTGACATTTCACTCAGCATAATGTTTTCAAGACTTAACCCTTGTTGTAACGTGTATCGGACTTTGTTTCTCTCTATGGCTAAGTAATAGTCCATTATATGTATGTACCATATTTTGTTTCTCCGTTCATCTGTTGATGGATGTGTTCAACTTCTGGCTATTGTGGATAATGCTGACTGCACTGGTCAAGTGTCTGCGTTCCTACTTTTCATTCTTTATAGAACATATTTCTAGGAGTGGAATTGATGGATAATATGCTAAGTTTATGTTTGGCCTTTTGAGGAACGGCCAATCCGTTTTCCACAGTTGCTGTAAGGGAAACTTAGTGGCTCAGGGATCAAGCAATTGGCTGCTAGTCCAATGTTGATGGTTTGAACTTAAACAGTTACTCCTCAGGAGAAAGTTGTGTCAGTCTGCTTCATAAACATGACAGCCGTGGGACCCCTGAGAGGCACTTTTACTCTATCTGGAGTCTGCTCAATGGCCATGGGTTTCACTTTTTTGTACCAGCAAGGGATGAGTTTTACAATTGTTCCATGTCCTCAATGACTTCTGTGTTTGCTGTGTTTAAATCACAGCCATCCTATGTGGTGTGAAGTTGGATCTTATTATGATTTCATTTGCATTTCTCTAGTAACTAATGTCCTAGAGTGAAAGCACATATTCTGTAAGTAAAATTAAGAGATGTACTGAAGTCCAGAGACAGCCCAGACCAGGAAGAGGTCTAAATTCACATTGAAGATGGGAATGCCACTGTACGATTGAAACAGGAACAAAGTTACAAAACTGGCTGGCTCAAAGACAATTAGAAGTCAAAGGAGGGACCAATAAAAGCAGGGATTTAGCAGGGATAGATGGATAACATAAAAGTGGGATTATGTGATTAGTTAAGGGTGTGTGCTCTTCAGTTTATTATAGGATGGCCACAGGATAGTGGCAGGATAGGTTTTTCTGGTACCCTATTACAATTGCAGTCTTAGCCATCTGTTTCTGGGAGTCCATTGTAAAGATTTATCAATAATACCATGCATTAAGGCCCTTCAGCACATGCTATTGAATCTTGTATCTGTTTGACCATAGAGGAAAAATTCCCTGGGAATAGATTGTGACGTCCTGCACCTGCTAGACATCAGAGAAAAAAATGTCTCCTTTATGGTTAGGTCAACGTTTAGAGGAACTGTTAGAAAAGGTAACTTTAAAATTCAACATGGATTGGAGACTCATGGCAAGACTTTAAAATGTTGACTGCTTTCAGACAACTCTTACACACACCACACGCCTCTTGAGTTTACACTCTCATACACCAATGCCACTGATGATCTTTCATATGCTTGTTGGCTATTTGAAAGTACTTTTTGGATGAAATGCCACAGTGTGTGAACCCATTGTTTTTATTGCATATACCCAGGGGACTCAACTTTCAGTACTATATCGGACAGTATTCTACTGTGATCCATAAGGTTTACATTAGATAATTTTTAGAAGTGGATTGCTAAGCCAATCTTCCTACTCTCTGAGTCAGATGCTCCACTGAAACCTGCCACAATGGGTGGTCCTGCTGGTAATTGAAATGCTGGTGTTACAGATTCTACTGTCATAGCAACACATAGTCACACAGTATGACAAGCTGACAGGCAATAGTGTCTTTGGGGTTATCTTGGCATAATTATTAATAATGTTCTATTGTGGTACAGTCAAGTAAGTGTTGAGCTGCTAACTGCAAGATCAGCAGTTCCAACCCAGCAGGGAGAAAGATGAGGTTGGAGGCTTCTACAGATTTACAGTCTTGGAAACCCTAGGGAGCAGATCTTCTCTGACCTGGCGGGTCCCTATGAGTAGATACTCGTTAATACCATAAGTGAAAGTATAAAAGAAAGGATAGTTAGGTGGGTAGTGTAGCATCCTGCATTCAAAGTCAATTGGAAATTTTCAGACAAGCTGAGAGTCCTCTGGGCCCAAACATACCTTAAGTCTCCTGCTTCACATTGGTACTCTGATCAGTCCTCGTTAAGTGCCGTCGAGTCGATTCTGACCCATAGCAATCCTGTGTAGGGTTTCCAAGGAGCAGCTGGTGAGCTTGAACCACTGACCTTGCAGTTCAAAGAACTTTGCAGTCTGACTCGCCCACAGTGCCACACGACCAAACAAATAATCTTTGACCACAAAAAAAGACACACAGTTTTTAAACTAATTCCATTTCATAGGCATTTACTGAGCATCTGCTATGTATGCTTTACTAGCTTCTGAGAACAAAGCACTCAGTAACTGCATGTCCCTGCTCTCAGAGGCTCACAGCCTGGTGTCTGAGAGCAAGTGAAGAAGAAGAAGGAAGCTCAGTACTTGTCAGGCAGTCCAGCAGGTCTGAAGTGATTGGGGTCTTTGCCACTCCGCCCCCATTCATTGGCAGCCTGGTCAGCCCTTGAGTCCTCTACTCCATGTCCGCTGTCTCCATACTTAAATAAGTCAGTGACTCTCTGGGATGCCTCTCTGGCATTGCTGGAGCCAAGGAAGGAAGGAAGGAGATTCCTCATCAGGCTGATGCTCAATCACCCTAGCTTCCCGACTCCCTCTCAGCTCTCTAAGGGACGACTATGAGAGTAGACAGGGAGAGAGGGCCAAATACTGACCCAGTCTACTCAGAGTCCTACTCAGCCTAGGCTGGTCACCCTTATGCTGGATGCACAGTGTCCTGTGACCCAGCAAGGGAGGACTGGGGACCACACATCCTACCAGTCATGGTCTGGCTTTGTTGATCACTCAGACCCACACTGAGCTTGGAGAGGGAGAGTAGACAAGAAGACAAGGGACCATAGCCCCTCCAGGAGTGTTCCCCAGGGTGGACCCTCTTCTGACTCTCTAAGACCACCAAGTTTTATTCATCCTCCTTGGTTCTGTGTTACCTGATCACTTTTGCAGCCCATTCACCCCCAGGTCCCCTTCGTGCAGCATCATAGTTCCCTCTAGCATGGAAGTATTTGTCAGCTCCCATGAAATTGGCTTCTCTCATGTCCCTGTAGGCTCTCAACATGTCCCCAGCTCCTGATAAAGCAAAGAAATTAATGGCAAAAGGGATATCATGTGACCATACACACTGTGACAACACTTCACAGAGGAATCTAGGAATGAAAACTCTTCCTCTGACTTCAGATTTCATTGTGTGATCAGAGCATTCTTAAATCTCAGGGTTTAAGAAGAATATTCCTTAAACCTTATTGGCTTCTATAAGGTAAATATCGACAGAGTCATTTGGATGCGCACAGCTGTGTTGTATTTGGTTGTCTGAGTGATATGATGGGTGGCATCTTGTTTAGGGCTCTGTGTGATATGGTCCAGGAGAGAAGGGGGATGGTACAGAGAACACAGTCTCTCCATTTCGGCACTATTGATATATTGGGACACCTTATGTATTGTAGGATGTTGGCAGCATCTCTAAGCTGTGTCCTCTACATGACAACAGCATCTGCCCCTCAAACTGTGCCATGATAAAGTGACTACAGACATTTCTAAATATCCTTGGGGCACAAGGGAAAACCACTCTTACTCAATGAAGCTACATATGATAAGATCCAGGGGACCATTAGAGTGTGGAGAGAATGTAGAAGGAAGGATTTGATCAAGGCTGCAGACATGCAGCACTTTAGTCCTGATGCTTAAGAAGTATGTACTCTTCAACATTTTTTACTTTGTTTGTTATTGTTAAATGCCACCGAGTCAGTGCAGACAATTCTGAATTGAGTCATTCTGACTCTTAAGGACATAAATATTATCCTGACAACTTTCAAAATAGACAAATGATGATGTAAGTTGCTTGAGGCAGAGCAATAGCAGTGATTCCCAGGCTGGGCTGTGCAGTGTAATAAGTTTCCAGGCCACATTCTGGCAATTACATTAGGCTCTGGGGGAGGGTGACTCCAGTGTGTAGCTGAGACTGATAATAACCATTATACTGTAAGGACACGATAGTCATGTGCATCCAGTTGGCACAGCTTTGGCACCCTGTACAGCTAGGTTCAAACTTCCTCTCTGCTACCTGCGGATGGGTTGGAAGTCCCAGGGAACTGACTGCTTTAAATCCTCAGCTTCCTCACCTTCAAAATGGGGTTTTGAAGTTCAAGTAGGGTAACCAATGGTTCTAATTAGCACTGAAAGTACCATGCCCGGGAAACTCCTCACACCCAGCAAACTGGAATGTTTGGCCAAGCTAAATGGCATGAAAGTGTTCCGTTACTGCTAAAGCCTTCATACATGATAAGTCCTCTTTCTTGTTAGTTAAAAGGCAAGGCTGCAAAGGATGAGGAAACAGCTCAAATGTGGAAGCAGCAGGAAGAGCTAAGCTGAAGTTTTCTTTCAACCATTTGACTAGGAAACTAAAGCTCAAGAGGGAGGAAAGGAGGAAGCAAAAACAAAGGCAAAAGAAGGGGGAAAGGGCACAAGAACACCCAGACTTGCAGATAGTACCCATTTGACCTAGCCCCGATGGCTTGATAATCAGAACTTGACTAGAGGAAGATTAAAAAAAACCAAAAAAAAATTTTTTTTATAAAGGAAACAAGGGGTAAATCGCTACAATTTGATGAACCTGACCTATACTTAGGGAGGTAGTAACTCTAAATACCAACAGAGAGGGAAGGAGTCTTCACATCGAGTATCAATGCTGTCTCCTCTGTACACAGGGTAGATAGGGACAGGCAACTTAGACATTGGCTACCTAAAATCAGGGGGCGATAAAGGCATGAAGTGACTGGCTTTTACAAAGTTTCAACAGGGAGTTTAAGAGTATGGGGAGGGGGTGTATAAAGAGTCCCCACTGAATAATTCTCATCTTGTCTAGATGGGTCTGATTAAAAGTGATGGGGATAGGATTCTTATGACTCAATAGTGAGTAATTGTTATCATGACTAGTAGCGACTGTCACAATTGTAAAGGTAGAAGTTTTGTAACAAAAATGGGGGAGCAGGTAATCTTATAGTCCAGAAATAAAGGACCCTAGGACCATCAGGGGAGAAGAGCACAAGTGGAATGTGGGACCTTATCCAGAGAAGCAACGACACCAGAGATGGAGGACTGATTCATGGGAAGAGAGGGACTAAGAGCTTGCAGCCAGGAGTCAGACTTGCAGAATATGCCCTTTGGTGGTGTAAATTCATGGAGACAGTCTGGCAAGAGACATGTGAGTCTCCATTTAGGTAGAGTATCGGCTTTAGTCAAAGGAAAATGGAAGGCAGTCACTTGGACCAGAAAGCATTTTTTGTTTACTCAGTCACTGTGTTGTAAATCATGTCTCTGAAAAGAAGAGCAACTAGGGAGTTGCAGAATGTTGAGAACAGACACCCAACAAGAACTCTATCTTGTGAACCAAGTAGATTGTGATGAACTCTCCCATTTTTCTGTAAGTGCTTATTTTTTCGTGTTGTATTTTCCTACCCATAAATGTAAATCATTCTATCATTACTACGGCATACCCTGCCCTGAAAATCCCTCAATCCATGTAGCTGCTACCAACAGTGTCCAGTCTAAAGTATCAAGGAGTTGGTCAAATGCTTGGTCTATTGTCTCCACACAGTTGTGGACCAGTGGCTCTTGCTCTGACTTGGGAGTAGAGTGACTGGGATAAGGCCTGCTGCTAGCTTTAGAGTAACTCCAAGATTGTCAAGGACCGGGCAGTGTTTTGTTCTGTTGTACATAGGGTTGCTATGAGTTGGAACCAACTCGATGGCTGCTAACAACAACAGCAACAACATAGTGTTCAATAAACAATCCTCACACTGCTGCTCAAATATAATAGGTCATCTACATATTGTGAAAATTTCCCTTTGGTGAGTTTGTTGTTGTTGTTGCTAGATGCCTTCGACTTGGTTCCAATACATAGTGACTCTGTATAGGGTTTCCAAGGAGGAGCTGGTGGGTTAGAACCAGTGACCTTGTGGTTTGCAGTCCAATGCTTATCCTATAGCACCACAAGATCTAATAAGGGTGGGGGCATTCTTGAAACTTTGAGGGAGCACATTCTAGTATAAATGCTCCTTAATGTCTGGGGGTCTTGCCACTCAAAAGTGATGATTTCCTGAGAAGCCTTTTCTAAAGGAATGCAGAAGAAGTCAATGTTCAGCTCTAATATTGGAACCCAGGTGGCTTCTGGAGAGCATTTTTTAGTATGGTATTAGCATTTGGAACTGTGGAATAGATATCTTGAATCATCTCATTGCCTGTACAGAGATTTTGGACAAACCAATATTCTCACATACCAGGCTTTTTGACAGGAGGAATTGGAGTATTATATAGAGACTAACATAATTGAATAAGTCCATGAGTTCAAATGTTTTCTGTCAGGGGAGCTATGCCTTCTAAGCCTTCCTTTCTGAGAGGATATTGATTCAGCTGGAGAGAATTCCGGCTGGATTTCAGCAAGAGCTCAAACAGAGTGGGCCCATCAAGCCCACTCTGGGAGTTCTGCTGTTCCACACAAGGGGCTTACCTGATTGTCTATCTCTTCTGACCATCCAGACTTTGTATCTGTTGGTTGAACTAGAAGCTTCCAAGTATGTTTGTGGGGAATGTTCATCTGTAGACTTTTTGTCTCAGAAAAGGAAGTTACCTGGGAATTCAGTTTGGAAGACAAATCCCACCCCCAAAAGGGAATGGAACAATGAGGCATGTTAAGAAAGAGATGAGTCATCTGCTTCTCTCTAATGGAGTAGTGCAAAGACTTCAAGAAAAACTTATGCTCTATCTGTCCAGAGCCTCCAGTGACAGAAACTGACTGAACAGAGCACTGGTGAGGGGAGTGCTCACCTCTGAATACATAGCCCAAGTATCCATAAGAAAATCCATAGTTTGTTCTCCCACTGTTAATTTTACCTGGGCTTCCTGAGGGGCAATAATAATATTTTGTGATCGATCATGATGGATCCTCAAGAACCTTCAATCCTCAGAGATGGCTTGCTCCAACATCTGTTGATCAATCTGGTTGTTGACCTCATCCCTAAGGCCCACTTTACTTTTGGGGCACTCATTCTTATGCAGGCTAATGCATCAGACGGCAAAGCCATTTGAACTGCAAGGTCGGTGGTTCAAGCTCAGCAGCTTCTTCTTGGAAGCTCTATACATAGTCTCTATAGGTCAGAATCGACTTGAAGGCACTTAACAACAACATTCGTCTGATGTACAAGTTTTTTGCAGTAAGCATGCTGCTCTTCCTCTAGTGGTTTCTGAGACATAGTTAACTCACAGAGTCATTGAACCAAAAAGAAATGGTCAATGTTCAACTCTTTCAAGAGGTAGCATGTGATCAAGAGTTAATGATACTGAAGCTAGAAGTCTAAGGTGCATTGAAGGAATTGGCAAAGAACAAGACTCCAGGAATTGATGGAATACAAATTGAAATCTTTCAACAAATTGGTAAAACACTGGAGTCACTCATTCATCTATGCCAAGAAATTTGGAAGACAACTACTTGGCCAAATGACTGGAAGAGATCAATATTTGTGCCCATTCCAAAAAGAGGTGACCCAACGGATGTGGAAGTCATTAAACAATATCACTGATATCTTATACAAGTAAAATATTGCTGAAAAGAATCCAAAAATGGCTACAAACATACATTGACAGAGAACGGTCAGAGTTCAAGCCAGATTTAGATGAGGACATGGAACAAGGGATATCATTGCTGACACCAGATGGATCTTAGCTGAAAGCACAGAATACCACCAGAAAGATGTTTATGTGTGCTTTATTGACCTTGAAAAGGCTTTTGATTGTGTGGAACATGACAAGCTATGGACAAAAATGCGGAGAGTATTCTGGAACACTTAATTGTGCTCATGAAGAACCCATACATAGACCAAGAGGCAGCTGTTCTAACAGAACAAGGGAACACCGAATGGTTTAAAATTAGCCAAAAGTGTGTACCAGGGTTGTATTTTTTTCACTATACTTATCTAATCTGTGTTCTGAGCACATGATCTGAGAAGCTGGATTATATGAAAAAACAAAACAAAAACTGGCCTCAGTACTGGAGGAAGATTCATTAACAACCTGCG